CGGCCCACGACCCTAAAATAAGGAATGACAGGAAACAGGATGTTACAATAAATATGTTATTTTAGAACAAAATACTAAATTGTCTCTGTAGTTTAGCTAAATTTGAACATTTATTCCCTATCTTTTATTTTGCACTAGGACCGTCATTATGTTTGATTTTGTTGTATCGTTGGTCTCTCGTAAACAAAAAATAAAACTATAATGCCCTTTGTATATCTTTTTTCATTTTTTTATCATTTTTTTATTATTTATTAATTAAAAAAATATACTAATATAACAGGTCCCACCATCATCACAACCTCTCAATGCCAGCCATCACCTACTATCATTAGCAACACACCAGCCACCGGAAACCACCTATCATCGTGACCACCAGTCGCCACCTACCCACCCCTCAGCTCCTGTGACATCTCCAAATTTACTTTCATTTTAAAAAATTTATTTATGCTTATTTTAACATCAGAGTAACCTTTTAAAGAAAAGTGTTGCGGAATTTGTTCTCGAAAAACACATGATAAATATGTTATCAAAGCATTTCCTAAGAAATGTATTTTATTCATTTTAAAACTTTGGGATGTCATCGTCAATACAGAAACATAAGCATAAACAGACCTTACATTCATTTACACTAGTGATCTACATCTCCTTAATCTCTCGGTGTAATGTAGCTTCATATCGACACCTGTGATACAAATAAACTGAGTGAGTTAGGTTGGGAAACCTGGTGAGTACATAGGGTTTTCAACCCACAATAATATAGTTATTATGTTTCATCATCAAACAATTAACCCATTTACCCATCCCCATTATCTTCTTTATTCTTAAGTATCTTCTCTATGAATCATCTACTCCTCACTATTTATTCCTAAGGATTGTCCTAAGGAATAGGCACGAAATCCATCGTCGCCAGGGTTTATATAACAAGCACTAAGTCCATAGTCGTCAGGGTTTATATAACAGGCACTAAGTCCACAGTCGTCAGGATTTATCTCGTTTATTGACAGTATTATTTTTGAGAGTACACTCGCAATACATGTCAATGGGTTTTTAGAGTACACCGGGTGAATGTCTCGTTTACAACACCTATAGGTTGCGAGCCTGCTAGTGTTCCACCGGACTGTCTAGAATAGTCTGTGGTTGTCATCCATACTCTGCTAGATGATGAATACAACGCTTTGGTAAAGGTTTCTCTCATTTTTCACCTCTCACCCTCGTCTCATGATCTATTTCATCTTTCATTTCATCATCCAACTCATCTTTCATCTACCCATCTTTACCCCTTGTAATTTATATAGGTATAAAATACATATACAGTTTAAATCATTTAAAACATGTATAATAGTGTTCATCCAGCATAGATAACAAGTATACAGATAATATGCACACATAGCACGTAATTTATATAAAATACTTCATATCTATGTGTAAGATGAAAGTAACTATGCACTCACTTGTTAAAGTGATGATCCAAACTCGGGCAGAGCTTCGCTTTTAACGATTCTATTTTCCTTCGACGAAACCTAACATTATTATCGCTAAGTTTTAGTCTAATCTTTATTGCGACTAATTATTAGTCTAGATTCATCATTAACTCAAAGTCTACTTCATGATCTATCAAGTAAGGAACAACCAGGTAGGATCATATCGGAGGTAGGGTCCGTTTGGTATACGAAGTATACTGTTTGGAAATCCCACTTTAAACACCTCACTAAATCACAGCCTAACACATCATCCCCGTAAGTAGATCAATCAGTATAACGACTTTGAATCACTGATAAATTTTATTTATAGGTTCATAATAACGATATTATAAGCTATATTGAAAGTAGGGTAGCATAACTTACTTAGCTAGGAGTCGGGCTCTTCAGGGGCAGAACTTCGTTGCTGAATCTTTTTGAGAAAGATTCTTGCAGCGCTTCAACGCTCACCTTACTATATTTAAAAACTACAGAAAGAGAAGTCGAATCACGAGGGACTGAAATGCTCGGGGGATAAGAAGAGAAAGACTCTTGAATCAAGAGAATGGTGCAAGAAATATGAGATCCTAGAGGCTCTTATTTATAGTAATTGAATTTTCAAAAACCACCCTCTATATTTACTTAAATGACTAAACACCCCTTTATAATACTATTTTAAATAGATTTAATGATATTTGTACTAAACTAATGTCGAAAGTACTCAACACTAGTCTTATAACGACCGCATCGTCGATACCTTTCTAACGATATATATATATATATAGATATATATATATATATATATATATATAGATATATATATATATATATATATAAGATTTACAATTTATTTTAATACGTAAATGTGCTATTAAAAATTATAACTCGTTCATACGAACTCCGTTTTTGACATTCTTTATATCAACGTGTAGCTATCGATGAGATATACAACTTTCGTTTAGACTCCGTCGGCTAATTTTGAATTTATATTTTGGTCCATTTTTTATAAAATTAAATGATTTTGCTAAAATCATAACTTCTCGTACTGACTCCGTTTTTGGCATTCTTTTTCTTAAAATTCTTATTTTAAGGAGTACTACGATTTTCTTTTTGGTCGCATTAGCTAAAAGTCAATCATTCTCTTCGTAGCTTTTTATGTCGTACATTCGTTGTGCGCGACTGACTTTTATATATTATAAAAATCATATTTAATTCATACGGATTCAGATTTCGACGAAATTTATATTTTCGGGATCGGGACGAAGTGTACTTCCTATATATATATATATATATATATATATATATATATATATATATATATATATATATATATATATATATATATATATTCTATATATATATATATATATATATTGGCGCACTTATTTTTACGATTTACGGACGATTCGACTGATTTTTCCTATTGTATTATATTTTAATAATCATGAAACATATAATATTCAAATAATTCTTCTTATTACGTCAAATAGGTTATAATTGTTAACCCTAACTATTACTTTGGTTAAGATTATTTATCCTAGATAATCTTCTATAAAAAAAATCATTTTAACGCTTATTACTAGCCCGAATCTGCGGGTGTTACACCTCCACTAACCATCATTAGTACACTCCGGCAGCCACCAATTAATCAACTCTAAAATATATCACTCCACACCCACGACTATCACCACTAGCATAGACCACCACCACCACTATCATCGACGGAAACCAATCAGACAAAACATGACCAAAATCAAACACAAAAATATCATGCATTTCCCCTTTACTGATTCAAGATAATATTTGAATATATGGATTAGTGTTTCAGAAAGAAAAAAACGATCATTCATCAAAGCCTCCAAGGAGTAAGAGTGTCTGCGACGACATTTTCCGACAAAAAGAAAGGTTGTCAACGGCGGAGCGCAAATCTAGAGGTGGTGGGCTGAGATCTAGTGGCGAGAGGAAAGGATGTTGGTGATAGAGTGCAAATCTAGCGAAGGCAACGAAGGAGCATATGTGGAGCAAAACCAGCGGAGATAAAGGGAGCAATCATCGGAGAAACCATATCGACGGCGACAACAGAGAACAATGAGGTTGAGTGTTAGTAACTGTTACCTTACTGATGAGGGTTTACCGGTTTAAGGGAAGAAATGATGGAGGTGGTGTGGGGTGGCAGGTGATGACGTGTGGTGTTCGTCGGCGTTCTGGTCTCGCCGAAGATGGTGATGATGAGTTAGGGGGTGAGTAAAGGCATGGTATTGATGGTGAATGATCTGTAAAGTGAAACAACAGGTGAAAAGACAAAAGGGTGGATGTGGGACCAAATTTTTATTAAAAATTGAAAGGGAGGGGGTGTAAAGGGAGGGTGCCCGGTGCGGTTTGGTGCGGTTTAGAATCAAAACTGCAAACCGCACCGCATGTGCGGTTTGAAATTTTCGGAAACCACAGACCGCACCACAAAGGTTTCAAACCGCGTTATGCGGTGCGGTTTGGTGCGGTGTGGGCGGTTTTTGTGCAGTTTGATGAATAACTAAAAATGTTATGTATTTTATATTTTATACACATTATTATGGGCGTTCACATTGTAGTTTAGAGACCGCACCACAAAAGCTTTTAACGGCATTATATATTGCAATGTGGTTTTCTTGTGGTGTAGAAATTTGATTATCACAAAAATTATCATAGAATAAAAGAAAAATAACATGTAAATAACTAGCATCAAAATTTAATTGTTTGTTTATCTAAGTAAAGATGTCAATTTTAAATAAATAAAAACATAATTCCACTTAAGTAGTTAATTCGAATTGATTCCAAACAATTTTTTCGTTTCTGTTTATTATCCATTTTACTACTTTCTAATTATATATATTATATATATATATATATATATATATATATATATATATATATATATATATATATATATTTGTGTGTGTCTTGTGCGGTGCGGTTTGAACCGCGATTTCATAATTAAAAACCACAAACCGCACCGCATAGTGCGGTTTGATAAAATTATAAACCGCAAACCGCACCGCGAATATCTAAACCACATTTTGCGGTGCGGTGCGGGTGGTTTGTGCGGTTTGATGCACACCCCTACTGTAAACTCGTCCCATTCTATTTTTTTATTAAGAAATATAAAACTAATAATAAAAATAAGTAAAAAATAAATTAGAGAGGGCAATATAGTCTTTTCATGGCGGATAGGGACGAAAAATGCAATAAAATCATACAATGAGGACGGTCTGGGTGCAAAAATAAATAAAAAATAAAAATAAAAATAAAAATAAAATAGTTAGGAACCAAACACGCAATTTGGATCAAACCATACAATTTTATTAATTTGTTCTAAATTATATTTCAAGTTAATGACGGATGGGTCTTAACTCTTGAGGAGTCTTTATCTAAAAATAACAAAAACAATAACGTAACATCAAATTCCATGAAACCAGTATCAAAATGTTGTTTCTAAGTAGATTTAGATGAACAATACTAAAACAAACACCATATCTATCAAAGATCAAATCCTATACCCCCCCCCCCCCCCCATATTGATAATCCTAACACCTTGTTCATTCATCACGATTCACGAGGAAATGATGTTTCTGGTGAACTCTCGAGAGATTTATTTTCATCCTCATTCGAAGACACCACCGGGATTTTAACCGCACTTCTCTCCATCTCTTTCTCAATCTCTTCCTCTCGTCTCAAAGCAGTGAATTGTGTGTCTAATGACTTTGCTGCTCCTAACCATGCTAAAACAATCAATAGTAGTATCCCACCAAGATATGGGGTCGAGTTTGCTAGTGATCCAAAGGTCAAAATCATGAATTGTTGGATCAATGCACCCCCGGATTTCCCTAATGGATTACACACCACATCAATTGCCGCCTTACCTTTAACCTGACACAAAGATTCCAAGAGTTGTTAGTACATGATATAACAAGTTGTACTGTGTTTCACATGAATTAAACGGAACCGAGACTCAAGACATATGACATATGAAATTGAACAAGGAATGATATCAATGGGACAGTGTATGCCATTGTTATACACAAGGGGACAATCTCAATCTCTCATATGTGCAAATGACATAAATACCCTTTTTCATCCTCATCGTCGTAAATATATATTTCTAAAAAGTTTTTCTAGTCCAGTTGTACTGCATTTAGCATGCATTAACTAGAAATGGTACGGTTGTCAATGGGACATTATCGCACACAATAAGGTGGGACAGAGACTAGTTCTCAATCTCTCGTGAGCTCTTCTATGTAAAAAGACGTAAATACCATTTTCAGTATAACCATCATAAATAGCACTAGGAAGGTAAAGATCGAACCTTGGTGTCTTCATCCAAAGGAATATAGGCCATTTCTTTGCATGGATCAAAGAGACTATATTTGGCGCTTTTGCTAAATATGTTTTGCATGGCACCCACGTAGACAGCTGCTAAAAGTGGAGTGATTCCAAACTTCATAAGACCTGGTCCAAGTGGATCGCCGAACAAAATCAAAGAAAAGAATCCAATTCCAGTTAGCAGCAAAACAGTGGGCGTGATTTTGGCTGCAACACCCCATCCATATTTGTTGAAAATCCATTGACTTAATAGCATCATTGTGAACGTTGTTATTCCAGTTGCAGTTGAGAAATCACCCATGAAAGAAGAGTATTCATTCGGACTAGGAAACTGAAAGATCAGAACAAGTTCAAGAACAAATTAAACGAATGATTTCACATTTATAACAAATAGTCTCTTCTAATAAACAGTTTTAATGATTTTAAATAGAGTTGATCACAAAAATTACCAAACATGAGAAGGCCATATCACAAAAGTAAAATGGTCGGGTTTTTTTTTCAACATTTATCACCAAATAACCATCGCGAAGAAAGTGTTTGTTAATTCGTGAAATTGTTTTTCCTAGCATCATATTTAGCAAAAGTGACATTAATTTTCAAGAAAATAATGTTATTTCGTGGAAATATAAAGTCAAATTCGAAGATTTTTTTTTTTTCACATAAGTGTGTTTCTTTTAAATACTATAAACGACTGGGGCAACAATATTGCTACAAGAACATGAAAGCAAACACGTGAACCTAATTTTATTAACATTCCAAATAAATACTTAAGTTTGCTAGTTTCATGAATTCTTCTTTATTTCACGAAAAAAATATTGAAAATTTTTGGTTGTTGAAAATTGTTTTCAAATCGTTTTCAAAAAATGGAGCTGAGTTTTCATTTTCAAGTTTCAATAAAAATTTAGAAAAAAACGTTTGATTGAAACAAGTGGAGTTCGCATTTTCCATTTTAAAAAATTAGAAAACGTGTTTGGTTGTATATTTTTTATCTTTTTTGTTTTCCATTTTTTGTTTTTCCAAATATTACAATATTAAACATATTTAAGCAAAAAATAAAATAAAGTTCTAATTAAGCTTATCAACATAAACTTTAATGCATAATTAAAAGTTAACATAAAAAGATAGCATTTTCAAATAAGACAATTTTTATTACTATAACGATATTAATATTGCAAACATCTTTGTGACGGTGTAGGTGGTGGGTAGAGGGTAAGGTAGATATGGGGATTGAGGTATGTTGGGTGTAGGTGTGGGGTAGGGTAGAGGTGGATGTGGGGTGGGGTGGGGTGGGGTAGGGTAGGATAGAGGTGGATGTGGATGTTGGGTTAAGGGTGTAACTCATGGGTGGGTGTGTTGTAGGGTTTATACTTTAGAAAATCAAAACTATGGAAAACAGTAAAAACCAGTTTTTCAATTTACATACAATTTGAAAAAATGAAATTTTCCATTTTCTTAGAAAATTTTGAAAAAATGAAGAAACCAAACGCATTTTCAAAATTTTTGTTTTTCCTTGGAAAACTAAAAAAATTTCCACAATCAAATGCACTCTAAATTATGCGAAAAATTAAAAGATCATAAAATATGGTGACATTGAAAAAACAATTTCAACCAAAGAAAGAAAAAAAAAAACAGATATTTCTTAATATTCTTTTCACAAAATAAATGTGGAAAAGGTGGTAATTTTGTGAAATATCATTCCATTTTTTGGCGATTTTTGTGATTAAATCTTTTAAATATATACCTGAGCTTTGAGCTTGGATTTCCATGTAACCTCCACAAGATTAATGCTTATACCATATGCTACAACCAACGTTGCGAGATCCCTAATGTAAGGTGAAGACGCCAAGAACTTCAAACTCTCCATTGTTGTCATGTTCGGTTTTTCCTGCAAATACAAAATCAAGCAAATTAATTAACGGGTGTTTGTTTTCAAGATTCATTAAAAATTGAAATCAAACTAATTAACCCTTTTTGTTACCTTTTTCTTCTTGCTACGTGTAGGAAGTGGAACATAAGTATTAACCCACCAATAAAGACCACAAATTGCAAACCCCATAAGCACGACGATGCTCATCATATATTTCAAAGAAATCGCCCACCCATCGACTCCTGGACCTAAGTGTTTTCTCATGTTCGAGAAGTATTTAACTGTGCGACCAGAGAAGATTAGAGCCACATTTGCTCCGAGCCCAAATAGAGGATAGAATTTCTTGGCTTCTTCTACTGTAGTTATCTGCGTTTTCACAAGTTTACTTTGAGTGTAAAAAATGGCATAAAGCTCAAAAACGATAACCATGAACATCTCCAACACTCCAACCGAATACCAAAACTATTTTTTACACTCATCCCAACACCAATTTTCATCGTTTAAAGAGAATTTGTTGTTTAATTTCTCCAACCCAACACCATTTTATTGTGGGTGAATGGTAAAATAGATATATTTAAGGTTCTGTTTTGCAAACTAATTAAGGGCATTTTTGGAATATTTATAAAAAAACTGCTTAAACTTATCAAAAGCTATCTCAAAGTAGCTTATCAAAAGTTAGTTTGTAAGCTAATTTATAAGCTAAAATAAGCTACTTTTGTGGTGTAACAAAAAAACAAATTACAAAAAACTAGCTTACAGCCTTACATGTTAGTTTATTTTTACTAAACAAGGCTTAAGTTTCAATGTTAATATGTTATATTTATTTGAATGTAAAACCATATTTAATTGTGATATTTGTTACCAATGATATTATATTATGAATTAAACTCATATTAATAGTATATATTATTTTTTAATTATTATTTTTTGAATTTTTATAAATTTAATATTCTTTAAATAATTTAAGATACAATAACATATTTTATAATTAATCTGAAATTAAATATGTAACAAAATGGCCATATATATCATATTTGATATAACATCTATAAAATAACTACTATTTTTTCAGTTTCGATATACAAACTGTGAACCACAAAAAGAAAACTTCAATTTTCTTTTTTTTGTGTCTTCGCAAAATATGGTGCAATTTTGCAAAAATAAAATCACAATTCTTTTGTTTTTTTGGGGTGAAAGCATTGATGAAGTTATTTCATAATTTGCAGAATCCAAATTGCAAATTAGATGGCTATCTTGCCTTATATGTGAAATTAGTACTCCTTTTGTTGATACAATCCTAATTTGGTATTTTTGTTATTAGCTAAAAATTAATTGGGAAAATTACTAATCTAACCAAATTCATTAATGACTTCTCACTTTTTAGCAAAAATTTAAGACTTATTTCAAAATAGTCATCGAAACCGTAGGTGGTTAAAATGGCCTACTGTTTCGCCCATTTACCTACGGTTTGATTTTAGTATATAAGGATTTTTTTTCATTTTTCACTACGAAACTGTAGACGAAAAATGGTCTACTGTTTCCTCTGAGAAGTCTACTGTTTCCCAAAGTGTAGATTAAAAATGATCTACTATTTCGTCTAAAAACCTACGGTTTTGGGGTTTTTTTAGGTATTTTGACTACTAATTCATGTATTTTGACTACTAATTCATGTATTTTGACTACTATATCGTACCTAGTATATATTAAAAGAAAAATCTCTTTTAAAGTAAAAGTTAGTGTTTTTTTTCATCTTAAAAAAAAAACCCAAAACCATAGGTTTTTGGACGAAACAGTAGACTATTTTTAATCTACTCTTTGTGAAACAGTAGACTCCTAAGAGGAAACAGTCGACCATATTTTCGTCTATGGTTTCGTAGTGAAAAATTAAAAAAAAATCCTTATATAATAAAATCAAAACCATAGGTAAATGGGCGAAACAGTAGGTCATTTTAACCACCTACGGTTTCGATGACTATTTTGAAAGAAGTCCTAAATTTTGGCTAAAAAATGAGAAGTCATTAATGAATTTGGTTAGATTAGTAATTTTCCCAAATTAATTTTGTTACGGTTGTCTAATAATATAATTTATAAACTATTATAACAAAAATTCAAATCTATATAAAAAAAATTAAATATAATGATATTAGAAAAATATACTCGAAATATTTTTTTTAATTTTAAACATAATATGATATATTGAAAATAAATTATCATTTTCACCAAAACTCACACAATCATACAAAAATGGATTAACATCGTATAAGATAAACGAAATATTCGAAATGTTAGTAAAATACAAATATACACATCTTATTATATCAAAAGATATTCAATCATGAATATTGTCCTGATTGGTCAATATGACCTACTATAACATGTTTTACACATTACCACTTTTTTTTTACAATACTGGTCATAGATTTAATTTCTATTATGAATTTTTTTCAAACAATTTTAAAAGTCCTTCCTAAGTTTTTTGTACAACTTTACTTTTACATGTTTTTTACTTCCTTATTTCCTTACAAATTACTCTTTTATAACGTTTTTTTACACCTTAGCCTTTTATAAATTCGTTTGTATGAAATTAGTTTTTTTATAAATATGCATTTTATACAACTTTTAGACCCCACTTATTTTAACAAAACAAAAAATATTAAAAGAAATTAAGTTTAAAAAACATTTTGAAAACAAAATTATTAAAAAAATGGCATAAATATATAAAAAGAAATTGAACCAAGTTCTTAAACAAAAAAAATAAAACTTTACCAAAATTATACTAAAAAAGGCGGGTAACCTTATGCAATCCAACAACCAGAAAAACGATATAATAAATTGGAAATGAACAAGATTTGATGAATAAGCAAATTACCTGATTAGCGAAACCCCAGAAGAGAACGGAAACCACCACACTCCCCCATAGCTCCGCCATGACATAGAACAAACAGAAGCTCCAAATCCTCAAAATAGCAAGAGGTCCAAGAAACCGAGGACCCAAGAATTCAAGAAGTCGATCAGCAAGAGCTGTTGGATGAAAATATCCACTAAGAGGATAAAAAACAAACCCAAAAGCCCCAAAGAAAGCAATAAAAGGAAGAATCACAGTGTAAAAAAGAGCCTTCTTTGACAACACGTTAGACAATTTTGTGTATAACAGCATAAACCCAATCGCCATAGGCAAATTAACCCATGTTTTCAAAAAGGGAATGATTTCAGCACTTGAACCCTGGGCTGTTACTACTAAAACATCTTTAGTGTCCCTAAGAATTGTGTAATTAAAAAGTATACAGAAGAACATTAACCCTAAAGGCACGATCTTTTTCAGGGTCAAAACTTCGACACCCATAAACTTCGGCGATTCCACATCATCGCCGCCGGGGAGGGCGGCGGCGGAAGCCTTGCAGACATGAAAAGTTCTGCTGTTTTGGGGGGTAATTGTTAAGGCGTTGAATTTTGTAAAAGTATTGAGATTTAGAGAAAACCCATTTGGGGATTTGGGTTTTATAGAATTTGAAAGATTGAATCGTTGTCGGAGACCCTGTTGTGGTCGATTGAAGAGGGATTTGGATTTGGGATTTGAAGGGAGGGATAGAAGGCCTTTTGTTTGTATGAGTGCTTCCATTTTGCTACACCTTTCTCTCTCTGATGAACTCAAATCTGTTCTTTAGAGTGTCGAATTTGATAAAAATCTAAAATGGCATAAAAAAATGGCATCAAAGGGAGGAAGGGTGGGGAAGATGATAAGGACCATAAGGTGCTTTCGGAAGAAGGTTTAACGTAAAAGAAGGAAAAACCCCTGAAATAAAAATGGACTTATGACAAGAAAAGGAGGTGGAAAATATTGAATTGTTGCAAATCTAGCTATGAGAATTGAGAAGTTGGAATTTTGCCCTGAAAAAAACATTTTAAGAAAGAAAAAGAAAATCAGAAAAGAATCTCAAAAGCGCAAAGAATCATGTGATTGGAAGATTGGGCCCAGGAGTTTGGGTAAAGTAAAATGACCTAATTGTCCTTGAAGGTATTTGTGGAATTGTGGGAGTTTGCGTAGTGAAACTCGATCCCCAGAAATCGCATCGAAGTTGGTTTACCGGTCCCTCCTTTTCATTTATTTATTTATTTTTAATTTTTAATTTGGTATATTTTTAATTATAATAAATGTATTTTTCATAAGAGCATATTATAATTTTGGTCCATTTGGTTTATACCAATATGCGCTTTTAGTTTAATTTTTGAGTTTCTGACATGTCTCGTTCCTATAGTTTTCGAGGTTTCACACATCTCTTTGTCTTCCCTCTTTGTAGCTCCAAACACCTGCAACACCTAGGATGCCGCCAACCCTTCACTTCTCTCATCATTATCGCTTGCACCATGCCTTTCTTGATTAGAGTGGTGGGTGTGGGCAACGCACGCCCACACGCGTTATTAGGAGAAAAAACAAGGAAACGCCGTTACCAAATGTTATGGTGGTAACGGGAAGCAACGGGAATGCCTTTAACACGCAATAACGGGAGGGAAGGGCGGTGTTCATTGGCGTTATCACGTGTTACTAGGCACAATAACGGCCCACTCCGAGTAGCCTTAGGCACCATCAATTGGCGAATATCGCCTTCTTTCCTTCCCTCTCTCCCTCAACCATCACCGATGAAGATCAAGGGTGGCATTCTAAGCCATCTCCGCATAACTCATGTTGGCATCTCATTGCAAGTCTAGGGTCACCACCACTCTTTCATTATCCCACCGCCATCTTCAATTGAATTCCCCAAAATTTCAAATGCCATAATTTTTGTTTTCGTTCCTAATCTCCCAAGATTTTGATGACACGTAAGGCTGGGAAGAAGCCCACCAAGAAGGAACCAATAAAAGAAAAGAAAACGTGTGGCTAAGAAAGCACAAACGAAAAATAAAAACAAAGGTCGGGAAGGAACCGCCTAAAGGTCATGTGGTACAATAAGTAGCCAAATATCACCTTAAGGGAGATTCAGACTGTCGTGAGTCTTGTACTTCCACAGGTGAGTTAGCCATGTACATCGCGTTGGAAGGCACAAAAGCAATGTCAACGTTTATCGTCTCTTAAAGAGAGCTTCATATATGTCTTTTTAAATTTTTGTTCTTATGTTTATATTTGTCGATGAAACATACTAGTGTTAGGGTTTCCCAATTTTTATCATTATGTATTAAGTGTCGTTTTCTTTTTGTTTTGAGGAATACCGGCTTTGTAAATTTGGATTATCTTGATCCGATTTGTCTGGTACAAAGTATATGAAATACAGTTATTATTGTTATGTTATTATGTGTAATTACATTTTGTTTTTAATTAAATGCGATTTTAGGAATATATGGTTATATTCGACACTCATAGTAAAAATTGAAATGTCGATGAAACATGCCAACGTTAGGGGTTGATGGTGGTGGGGGTTTGTGAGACTAGTGGTGATTAGTGAAGGGTCTTCTAGTGATGCTGGTGGGCCGGTGGTGATGGTGATGGCTATATTTTATAATTTAATAAATATATAATAAGAAATAAATAAATAAAATGCAATTTTGTCATATTTAAAAATAATAATAATAACAACCAAGTTGTTAGTTCTAACGACCACATGACCACCGGTGCAAGATTTGGAAACCATAAAGACTAGTCATCTCATTTTTTCCGAAGTTAGATCAAATATGCATATTGGAGCAAACCATACGGACCAAAACTATAATTTACTCTTTTTAAATCATTTAAAAATGAATCAATATGAAATTATATTTTTTTAATTTATTAATCAAAACAATTTTGTTTTATACTAACTAATATTTCATTCGCACAATTAGAGTCAAATATCTAATAGTTGTATTACAAATTAAACGTATAATTATTTTAGAATACAAAATAAGTAGTCAATTTGACAACTTTTTATAGGCTATGTTTGACAATGAAAACCCAGAAAAAAAATATGGAAAACGTTCTTTTTATTATGGTCAGATTGGTATAAATAATTTGAATAAGCGTAGGAATAAGAAGCAGACAATAAATACGTTTACATTATGGCATTACATTCAATTATATGTAGGTTTGCTTTTCTATATCAATTGTTTAAAAATTGGTTTTTAGCTGAACCGGAATGGTGACCGGTTTTCAGTTCAACCGGTTCGACCGTCGGGTAAACCCGTTTTTATAATTTTCATATTTTCTATTTTCATACATACACATACATACATTGTACTAAAAAAAGAGAATATATAGGTCTTTTTCGCTTCTTCGCCAAGCTTTCGAGCAGCTCTTTCAACTGCAGCCTAATCCCCCAACATGCTCAAGAACCGAGAGTCGTCCAGTCCCTGGACAGCCGGAGGGAGCTTGACCACATACATACATAAATCAATAATTTTACGTCCATAAGTTCAAATATTAAAAATACACATAAAACAACTCGTAGATCAATCTAAATACATTAAAAAACATATAACCATAAGTTTTATATCAATTCACGTAAAATAAAATAATGTATAATATCAAAACAAAATAGAGCTTAGATGAATACAGACGTATCAAAAACTTCATAACATTTACCATGAGTTTTTATTTAGAGAAATCTAAATAGATGTGAAAAACACCACTAAAGTTTGTTATGCGAAATATTTTATTTCCATGTGTTTTTATTCAATTTAACCGATTCAACCGGATTTTTATAAAAACCGTCCGGTTCGTTTCAGTTCAAAAATAGGCATAAAATCGTTGTTAGTTGAATCGCTTCCTTCCCTGGTTCCCGGTCCAACCGGTTCGACCGGTCGGTTCAAACCGGTTTTTAAAACATTGTCTATATCCTATATAACTTAAGAAGATTTTTGTTGAGTTGTCGAAAACACCTTATTTCAAGGCCACGTGGCATGTCTAATATGACACTATTTACAAAAAACAACATTTGATAAGGGTCGTTTTCTGACGTATCGATCATATGGGAGAGACACTTCGTTGGGATGTGGTTACGGGTTCTTGTAGCGGTCGTTTTCGACTGTTCATATGTCCTTCAATTTATTGTGCCTTGAAACTGTATTGTAACAGGTTGGTTGTTCAGCTGCTTAAGAGCTGGTGCTTATTCTCTATATAAATGACACGGGAGGTATGCCAATTGTAGATGTAATTAGTGTGTTAGATATAATTGTTAGAATTGTTTTAGTGTTTGAGATGTGTTCACAATATCAGTTGATTAGTGAGTTGAATATTGATACCGATGGATTGAAGTTCAAGGAACATGTTTTTTATGGAAGCAACATGTTTATTTGAAGTCGTCTGAGTTGAATAATATTAATATGGTATTAATGGACGAGAAGGTATCGATCTATCATGGATAAGTTTTTTCTTTATTTTCTTTGTATTGGTATTGTTATTAAGCGCTGGTTGTTTTTTGTGATAATTTCAAAGGAACTATACCTCAACTACCATCAATAAGGCTTTAATTCGTAAGTTTGAAGGATTGTTGAAGGAGGGGATTATGTATGCTTTTTCGAATTTCTTTATTGCTGATAATCTTGCCCGTTTGAAAATGCCAAATCACATATTTAAATTAAATTTTCACAAAGACGCGTTTGTTAAGGCCATCACATGTGGCTTCTCCCATGGTGTGAGCTCTTTTTGTTTTTCCAATTTTGGAGACATTATTTCATGTCATGATGTGGAGGAGTGTGCAATTGGTAAGTAGGAATTTCTATCAAAAACAAACATGCTCTTATACTTGCGTTGTTTGTCCTGATAATTCTGAATTACTTGGCATTTCGTTTTGTAGATGTGATTGGTGTAGTGACATGGTATATCTACTTCATGCTTAGCATGAAGGATGGTCGGTCTGCTAAGAGGGTGTCGTTTGAATCACAAGATCATGAGTAGGACAGAATTATGTAATTTTTCTAGGATAGATCTTTGTAGGTATGTGAATACAAATTGCTTTTTGTTGTCCAATATAGATCATATTTAATGTACTATGTGGGATGAACATGAAGAGTCTAACACCCGGTTTTTTAATGCAAGGTACACCCAAAATTTTCATTTTTAAATTTATAAATCACCTCAGTGTACGCTTGTATTAACAATCCAATACAAGAAGTTATCAAAAAATGATTGCATCAAGGAAATTGATATTGCCATATTTATACATATTTTTAGGCAATATTTAAGTACATTTTTATTAATATTTTGGTTATTTGCATGGAATAATGATACTTATAAGGCTAAAATGTATTTTGCAGCCAAATAGAAGACATTTTGAAGAAAAGGGACTAAAAGCGTCAAAGAACGGAACTTTGGAGGATGAAGACTTAAAAGATAAAAATCCAGCAAAAATTACGCTCTCACGACATGAGTATTGAAGGCTCACGACGTGAGTTGGGACATTCCAAAAGATAAGCATCGCGTAGAGAAATCCTTGTCAAACACGGATACTTACGATCTCACGACGTGAGACACATAAGCTCACGACGTGAATGAGGATAATTCAGAAAGTATAAATAGGACTTGATCCCTACGATTGAAAAAAGGTTGGCTGACTTGGAGAAGTTCCAGAAGTCGAAAATCACAGAAAAAGTAGGCCTAAGAATTGTTCTTTACACCAAGGAGGAAGAAGAAGTCATAATTTGATATTTAGTTTTGTACTTTTAAACATGCTTTTTATTATGATTTGTGTTAGCTTAATTGTTAGAATGTCCAGCTAAATCTAGCTGCTTCTGTTAGCTAGATGAAGTTGGAACTCATGGTTTTAATATATTAACTTAGACTTTACTTGTTGGTTATGTCTTGTGTTTGATTGGTATACCTAGCATGCTTGATTTGATAATTAGATTGCTTAAATTTCTTATTCTATGTAGTTAATGACCATTATTCTGTATGAATTGG